ACTGTTCTTTTTTTATATATGTATGGATTTTGGTAGATATAAACTTCTACTTTGAGCAAGAAGAACAATACTAATTAAGTCTCTTGCGTATATACGATTCACGTTTTGCTGTTCTAAGAGCTTTTATATTTTTAATACAGTATAAGTATACATAACAATATGTAATATAAGAAATGTGATGGTGAAAAGTAGTTAAGGGGGTTTATTCTAGTAGATATTATATAATATTGGAAAAATGAATTAGGTGCTGGGTACCTTATAATTATATATTAGGTACGCTTACATGATGTTGCAATTGGAGCAGTCGAAAAAATGGACAAATTATTTATTTTGAACACGAGGAAATTCTATATATATGTACTGTAGCACTTTATTGTTTTAATTGTGATATAATGATGGAAGTGGATGAAAGGACTTAGATCATTTGTATGAGAGTATGTTGGAGCTTTTTCCAGGTTTAAAGAGTTTTTAGGTTTAAGCGCTATATATGTATATTTTTTTTTATTCAGAGCGCTATGTTATTTTATTTAAAATATTTTAATTGAGTATTCCTCATATATAATATAGAAATATGTAAACGCTTCAAAGAGTAAAAAATAATATTGTAGCACAGGGTAATGTGAAAAGGACGAGTGCAGAAAAAGCTGTAATGTAGAAAATAGTACTATACAGAATGGTAATATATAGAGAATGTTACACAGATTTGTTAATTTCATGCAAATGGCTAGAGCACTTTCTTGAAGTTATTCATAACACAAAGGTCTTGTGAAATATAAGCATGTGCCTCCGTTTATGCTTTCTATACATGCGGTATATATATGGGCTTATGTAATATCTCAGGATCCATATATGAGAAACCGTACAAATTTTTCTGTTGTAAGACGATTTCTTCTCTTTCTCTTTTTATTGTGATATAATAACACACCTTCTCTGGTACATTCTGATACGAAATATGTGTAACCACTAGGGATCACGGTGTTGTAGGACCAGTTAGATCCATTAGTAAAAGTGAAGTTTTCAGAGAAGCCTACGATACGTGTCACGGCCACATGCGTCATAGCAACATCCATTATGGAAGCACTTGTCACGAGAACAACGTATGCAGTGCCTCTTCTTCGTACGGCTGTCAACCTTTCTGTAATACACTATCCACATATAATCCCCTTATATCCATAAATTCCGTAAACCCTCCACACTCGTCTGCACAGTCGTCGGCGCCACTACCACTGCCATCGTAGCCCCTGTGCTCATCGCTCAACCGAAGTGGGGCAGCGACGTTGGTTTCTGTTTCCGCGCAGCCGCTTTTTGTTGTGGTGGAGGCATCCGTCCGCAGTCTTATCGGTGGCGGCCGCATTAGTGCATTCTGCCATCGGTCCTTACCTGCCGCTGCGTTTGGTGCTGGTATACCGCTGTTGACAGGGTGCGGTACTATGGCCTTACTGTCGGCATTCTCAGGAGCGCTACTGGGGTCGTCTTCGCTAGGCTCCATGCATGGTCCAGGTGTCTGCGCGCATTGCACTGCTGCTGTCTTTACCTGCTCAACTATGACCTTCAGTTCTTGGCCTAACGTAGTTATAGCTGCCTGCTCCTCTGGCTGCATTTTTATTTTGTCACCCATTTTATGTTTACCCGGTGTTACCCCGTCAAGTTCTGCTAAGCTTTTCCTACATGTGCTGTCTATACCCTGGCCTCCAATTTTGTCAGTCAAGCTCGGGTTTTTCTTTAACCAGTCCTTAATCTTCTCTGCCATGTCGAATTCCTTTGTTTGTATGTTTTCAAACACTTCGTGCCCACATTTACCTGTGGTTATTAAACCACCCCGTATCCCGTCTTCCATCTGTTTCATGGTGTACCATGCATACCATAAACCCCAGTCTCCACCACATGATGATTCCTTCAGTATTTCCATATACATATTCACTATTGCACATCTCACATATTCCTTCAGCTCATCATCATTACTGACCAGCATAGTCCCACGCCGCAGGCGCCACGTGTCCTCATTCATAAAATATAATGCTCCTACCATTAGTCTGCACATAATTCTGTCTCCCGCGCGTGTGACTTTGAACTCCGGACCATGAGGATCTGTCGGGTGCTTATAATACGCATTCTCACAGTTCGCATCTAAACCCTCCGTATCCGTTTGTGTTATATGCTCTATAAATGCTTTTAACTCCGTTTCTATATCTGCCCACAGCTTTTTCTGCAATTAATATAACACATATATGCATAGTTTACAACAGGCGCTTCCTCCTGTACACTTAATCCACCTCTGAATACATTCCTGTCGACTAGGCGCTCCCGCACTATCATAACAGCGGTCACCGTCCATACTCATTCACATATGGCACGTATCTGCGCTCCATAAACTGCCTCCCCATTATGCATAAGCAAATTAATATGCACTACGTTTAATATCGTGCCAATCACTCTAAGTTACCAGATAAACGTCGTGGCCCATGTATTCACCCCGCGCCAGCACGTATTGGGCCAACACCTGGGCTAGGTGCTGTGCGGACATATTAGTATTATTGTATTAGTATACTATACTTTGTGGAGGCCCTTGGAAATATTACTATGCTACATATATCACATGTAAACCCATGTAAAATGGTCTTCCGTCGTATGCTAATATTGGGCTAAATACTTATTCTTCGTCTACTTCTTCAACAATATTTACATGAACTGCTGGTATCATATGTACTTGTGCTCACTATAGTGCTGCCGTACACTATTTATAGTTGCGATAAGGCAGAACTATATGCAAAAAAAAGAAAAAATAAAAGCATAGTATAAGAAAAAGAGAAAGAAAAAAAAAAAAACGAAGAAAGAGGGAAAAAAAAAAAAGTACTACTACTACTACCTTCACACGCAACACGCGTCATGAATATACCCCCTCCCCCCTTTCTACACCGGTCTCCACTAAACCCCTTCACACAATGTCTCTCTCTGCGTACACCTAAAACCGCAGTATAACAACAACATCAATTGTTGCCGTTGTTGCCGAGTCCGCGTACACCGAATTGTCTCCGAGCAACGCGGCCGAGTGTAAGAAAGGAGGGAGACATTGTCTCTCCGAGCAAACGCGTCGAGCAACGCGGCCAAGTGCAAGACCGATTCGAAGAAGTAGCCGAGTGTACGAAAGGAGGAGGATTGTCTCTCCGAGCAAACACGGCCGGGTACAGGCTTGTTCGACGACGTAGCCCAGTAACAAGGACGCGGCCAGTAGGGCAAATTGATGCTGTTGTTATTACTGCGGTTTGTAGGTGTACGCAGAGACAGTGTGTGAAGGCGTTTACTGGAGACCGGTGTAGACAGGCGGGAGGGCGTGGTATTCATGACGCGTTGTGCGTGTGAACGGTAGTAGTAGTAGTACTTTTTCCTATTTTTTCCTCTCCTTTCTTTTTGTCTTTATTATTGTTTTCTTCGTTACCCTATTTATTCTTCTTTTTTTTCCTTTTTTCTTCTTCACAGGGGGGATATTGTTCATGTGTGGAAGAGAAAGCGAGTCTTCTCTATTTTGTTTACAAGATGTTGTTATAAGTTTGTAGTGATGTTTTGTTCTTTTGTTTTTGCTCTGCTTTTGCTTTTTTTTTTTTTTTTTTGTTCTTTTTGTTCATTTTTTTTCTCCTTTTCCTTCTTTTGTGTTTATTCTTTTAATATAAGTACAGAGAACTTCTACACAGAACTTATGCAGCGCGGCACGGAAGAGCATATATATATATAGTTTCTATTTTGCCAATATTGTTTTTACTGTACTTGATTCATTTTGTTTCGTTTTTTCCCTTTTCTTAGGCGGCGTGTCCCTTTCCTTTTTTTTACTTTAATTTATGTATCACATAGTAACAGCATAAGACAGAGAGAGAGGATACATATAGACGCACGGATGTAATGCAAATTATACACTACACCATACGCACCCTTGTCTGCCTCATTGTGCAATAAGTCCTGAGGGGCAACTCCCATGGTCGATAGTATTGTTAGAAATTTTTTTGTAGGTGGCCGTGTGATGAAACTCAGACGGCAGCGTGTTCCATCTGCTACAGCTGTTTCTCGGTATACACTATAGAGTGCAGGTATCATACAACAAGTGTTAGAAATAATTATGTAAACTGCTTTATGTAACATTAGTCCGCCATTTATCTTTGGATTTATTTATATCACATGCAGATGTACCTCCAATCTATATATACGTGAAGCCTTATTATTCATTCCTGTCAATGACAGAATATACTTCCCATGAGTTACATGTTCGTATGCCTAAGGCACCTATGTGTACGATGCACGTGAGCATGCATATTTGTCTATCTGCATGTTTTATATTTTTCAGGCAGCAATTTTAAAACAGAAATCATACTACCATGGAGAAATTTGTTACGAATGTTCTTGCAGAATGGGGCAAACAGAGGGAACTATGGGATCAGAAAAAGTTCGATGTACGTCATACCATAGTAAAAGCACCCCTTGCCAGCAAGAGTTTGTATGAATGTTAAGGATATAAATGTAATGAATATGCGGAACAATGGTAAACATTAGGAGTATACTATATATGTTTGTATTTTATTCCTTCCATATGTACGCTGCAGGAAACTTTGTGGACGGACATGGAAACTGTGTTACGCGCGTTCGTGCAGCATATAGATGACACCAGGGACATATTGGACGCATTGGCTAAGAACTGCGAGAATATGGGATGGGATTATAAGGACAACGACACCGCCAAGTATATGGGACATACCGTAGGCGACGTACTGAAGTGCCGACTGATGGTAGGTGCATTATATTTCATGCAGGCTTGGCATCAGGGACTAGGAATAGGGGGGAAACACCGACGTCAGAATGACGCCGATTTTGCAGGAATTATGAAGTGCATATTGGTAAATGTTTTCGAGACGCTACTGATGAAATATAAGTGTGGAAGCTTCAAGGGACCCATGTACGCATGGAAAATCATAGATAAAATGCAGATGGACGGGGGGTTCCAGGGAAGAACCTCAGGAGGGGAATGCAAGAGGAACCAGTACGGGGACAGGAATATAGGCAGCGGAAACCTAAAGGCGGCAGTTAAGGCATGGTTGAGGACCCATCCAACAGTAGAGCGACAAATTCGACAAATACAGCCACACCACGATTGTAATAAACAGTGGAAGAAAAACATGCGCATAGGACCAGCTGTGGGTGAAGAGGATGGGCAGAAGGAGCAGGTCATGGAAGGGGTACACATAGAGGGCCAGTGGACAGACGTAGTAAAAACTGTTTTCAACACAATTGCAAACGAGGGGGAAAAATTCAAGGAGCAACTCAGGGAACGCAAGAGGAAGGCCAGCGGCAGCGGAGCAGTTATGAATGTACCGTCTGCCGAAGATGATACCGAGGACTCCGAAGACGAAGAGGACGACAAAACGACCAAGCACTCACCCGCCTCTGCCAAACCCGCCACGACCAAGCAGGCAACACAAAAGGAACCACAGGCACCGTCAGGTGAGGACCGATGGGAGAAAGCACGAATATGTCTGGCAAGAATACGAACACACGGCGGAACAGTAGCACCTCTTCGCTGCCCTCAGCGGCGGCGGCGACCACTGTGTAGACGAGGTGTGGAGCGGCGACGAGTGTATAGCGCTAGCGATAGACGTAGCGACGGGAGCGACCGAGATGACGGCTACACATAAAAGTTGTACTGCTACCATCTAGTCCAAGTTCACCGAATACGCAGTCCACCTCACCGTACGCTTGCTGTCTCCGGACCCAGGCTACCCTAGTCTTACCCCGACCCACTGCATCGACCCACTGCATCGACCCACTGCATCGACCCACTGCATCGAC